AATGAGAGAGGAGAACATGGGGAAAATAGGAACCCTGGGAATCCAAAGGCCAGAAGCAAGCACAGGGATCAAGGCTAGGGTGCATTGGGACAGATTTCCCTCATGGACCAGCCTGGCTCTGGGTTCTAGCTTTCATCAAGGATTGAGAAGAGGACAAGACTGAACTGACCGAACGAACTCTATTTCTAATACCGCCTCCCTCTTGTCTTCCCAGCTCTTTTGACTTGCTTTCTTTCCCCTCTTTTGGGTTTTGCTTTGGTGTCTTTTTACAAGCATTTTTCTTTTTTAAAAATTTTGGACATACATTTACTGTACGCTGAGCTTATTCCCTGACCACCCCTCCCTCCAGAAAAAAAGCCTTTTTTTGAGATATGATCAATCATAACCCTCCTACTTTAGCTGCTCTGAACATGCACCTGCATGCCCAGGAAAAACTCTCTCGTGTGTGTACATAGACACTCTGAAAGTTTTTACCTGCACCTGTCTTATTTCCTGTAATGTTCTGAAAAAATGAGTCTAGATTCAGCTAGCACAGAATTAAAGACAAAGGTGTGTGTAGATGACTCGGTTGAGTCCTTTTCCTTGTATGACGAGAAGCACATGAAAGAGGTACAAAGGAAGTGTGGGGGAAATGATGCAATTTGTTATGATTTCTCATCTTCAGGAACTTACTGTGCTGGGCAGGGTAACCCTCACCTGTCACCCAGTACTCAGGAAGCTGAGGCAGGGGGACTACAGTAAATTCAAGGACAGCCTGGACTGCAGAATGAGACCCTATCTCAAAAGACACATGTACATACCTGTCTCCCCACCCCCACCCCCTCACACATACCTACACACACACACACACACACACACACACACACACACACACACACACACACAAGAGCCCTCTGCCAACCCTACTTACAGTGTTCACAGGGAAAAGATATTTCCAGTCTGTAAAGCTTTCTTTTGTTTTAGGTTCATTATAAGTCCTCCCTCAATATGTTTAGAAACTATTCATGGAAAAATGCAAACAAATCAACTCTAAAAATAAATGAGATCAAATTTAGTTTGATAAAATTAGTTAGGTGCCTTTGAAAAAACACCACGATCAGAAGAATGGAATGAGTCATCTAAAAAACAAAAAAGAATACAGTTCAGTTGGTAGAGTGTCTGGTACAGTGTCTGAGTCTGTCTAGCACGCAGGAAGTTCTGTGTTCTGCATCTTAGCATTGCATACACTGGGTGTGGTAGCACTCACCGGTAATCTTGGAACTTGATCAGTCAAGGCAAAGTCATAAGTTCATGCCCATCTTCAAGTATTTTGAGGCCATCCTGGACTATATTGTACCCTGCGCCTCAAAAACAAAATTTTAGAGCCAGGCGTGATGGTGCATGCCTCAGATTCAGAATAAGTTTGTTGCCAGCTTGGGCTATACAAGTTCCTGTCTCAAAAAAATAAAATAAATTAATTAGTTAGTTATATAAAAAGAATAACACCATTACAGAGAAACTACAATAACTCCTTACAAATACCATACATATTAGAACAGTTTTTAGTTAGAGATTAGTTTTTTGGCCGGGCGGTGGTGGCGCACGCCTTTAATCCCAGCACTTGGGAGGCAGAGACAGGCAGATCTCTGTGAGTTTGAGGCCAGCCTGGGCTACCAAGTGAGTCCCAGGAAAGGCGCAAAGCTACACAGAGAAACCCTGTCTCGAAAAAACCAAAAAAAAAATAAAAATAAATAAATAAATAAATAAATAAATAAATAAAGAGATTAGTTTTTGAACCAGCGACTTTTTGTTAGTGTTTTCTTAATGGAAATGGGAACTCCTAGCAATCCTCCTGTCTAAGCCTCCTGAGTACTAGGATTATAGATGTGCCCTAGCTGCTGAGCCAGTGACTATTAAGAACCTCTTTAGCAATTCTGTACATAGAATGCTTTAAAATGGACTGCCCTAGCACTATGGCCTGGTTTCCCATGAGACATGGGACTGCGACCACTGAGAGTGACTGGATCCTCCAGTCCTCATATTGTAGCATTTTCCAGAAGCACCCATCATTCATCTGAAGCCTTCCTTTCTGAGTAGCAGCTCTAAACAGATGCTTACAAGTGAGTCATCTCGGTGATAGAGAGAGCATGGGGACAAAGGGGTCCAAAGTCTAAGAGAAGCGCTGTCCGGGAAGTACCGAAAAGATGTGCGCTGCAGTTTCTTAACACAGGCAGTGTCCAGAGCAGAAGCCAGCACAGTTTCCAAAGGACTAAAATGATGATCTTTATAAGCAGACTTTTTACCTTTTTATAAGCAGGGGATTCTGGACATTACAGATGACGTGTCAATATCACGCCATGGAGTCTAGTATGCAATGAGCACAGACGCATGAATTCAAAGCTTGCACTTGGGTTTCTAAATTCCTAACAGCATCACAGTGTTTGGTGGCAGCAGTTTTTGTTTTCTAAGGTGGAGTCTCTGATTTGTCACTTGGCCGAAGCTGGTCTCAAATTCCTCATCCTCCTGCCTCCGCCTCTCATTTACTGACACTGTAAGCACGAACCACCACTCCCTGCTCCAATTCTCACCATTAAAGGGCTTCCCAAACCAAACTCAAGGCCCTCTGTTTGCGTGGCAAGTCTTTACCTCCTACGCCATCTCAACAGCCCTGGGCAATGCTCTGTGATGTGGATAATGTTGAATGTTGAGGATCAAATACTATGTAATGTCATTTTGTCACTTTCCTGATATTTAGAACTAGTTGAATGTTTACACAAAAACATGAAGTAGTTCCGCAGGCCGCTCACTGCTCTTGAACAAGACTACATTTTGTTTTTTTTAAGACATGGTCTCACATATCCTAGGACGGCTTCAAGCTCAATATTTAACTGAACACCTTCCTACTTCTCCTTCCTGGGATTGCTGCCACACCCACAGGAGGTTTCTGTGTTATGGGGGATGGACCCCACAGCCTTTTGCATGCTAGACAAGCTCTCTACCAACAGAGCCACACCCCCAGCCACGTATGCATGTATTTTAATATATATGTATATATATATGTGTGTGTGTGTGTGTGTGTGTGTGTGTGTGTATACATATGTGCGTGTGTTCGTGTGTGTGTGTGTGTGTGTGTGTGTGTATTTATTTATATATATGTAGTCAATCACTAAGGGACTTTCTCATCTCACTCCTTAGAGTACACTCAATTAAAATCGGATATACATGGTAGAATACAACCCCAGATTCCTTCCTCTCTGCCTTTGCATCTTGACCAGAACTGGAACTTCCACACATCTACAGCTGCCCAGCTTTCTCCAAATGAGATTCACTGCCTGGTGGCGCTGGAAGAAAGCACGTCCACAGGATGCTGTGCTCAGAGGTGGGCAAGAATATTGACCTGTCATCAAGGAGCTCCCATCTGTTCTGATATCATGAGTCATCCTGTGCTTGGAGATAAGACCAAAAGTACAGTTTTATCATCCACCGAAAGAAACAAAATGGACACACTTTTCCATTATGCCTGAGCCTGTAACGAGAGCTCGAGGAAGTGAGTGGAACATGAAGTCACCCCTTCCGCCTCGGCAGACAGATGGATAGAGACATTCTCATTTGTTCCCAGCCCTTTGTCTTCCGAGCACTTTTGGCATTTCCTTCAGGAAGCTGGAGGTTATGACCTAAGGTTTCCTTAGTGAACACACTCTGTTTCCCACAGTTAACCTCACCCAGAAATGACATCTACTCTAGTAGGTGAGGTTTATCTCCATGTCCCAACTGTGTCCTGTCCTGTGCATGTTCAATGACACTTGAGAACACAAATTCTGAAAAGTAACCATAGGCTGGAAAGCCAAACACGCCAAAGTACTCCCATTTCAACTGCAGTAAAGATGACAAGAACTCCAAGAGTTGACTGTTGTAATCATTTTGTGTTGTATGCTTTCATTTCCCAGTTGCCTTCATTTTAGTAGAAATATTTACAGGGCCAGGAATACTGAGAAAAATTTAAAAGGTGTGTGTGTGTGTGTGTGTGTGTGTGTTGGGAGGAGGTGATCACCCACTTTGTATTCTACTTGTTTTAATTTATACTGCATAGTCCCATATTGTTCTCATAAGAACCAAGATGGTGTCCTAGAAAATGGGATGACTTGGAGGCTGGACATGTAGCTCAGCTGGTAGAGTGCTTGCTTAGCATGTGTAAGGACCTGGGTTCAATCCCCAACCCAGCATGAACCTGGGCCCAGTACTGAGGAAGAGGCAAAAGCAGAGGAATTAAAAGTTGACATTCACTGGGCGGTGGTGGTGCACGCCTTTAATCCCAGCACTCGGGAGGCAGAGGCAGGCGGATCTCTGTGAGTTCGAGGCCAGCCTGGGCTACCAAGTGAGTTCCAGGAAAGGCGCAAAGCTACACAGAGAAACCCTGTCTCGAAAAACCAAAAAAAAAAAAAAAAAAAAAAAGTTGACATTCATCTTCAGAGTGAGCACGAGGCAAGCCTGGAATCCACTAGACCTTGACTTAAAAACAGACAAACCAAAAAAGTACAAGGCACTGAGTAACTTAGTATTACCTCCTGTTAACCAGGTTTTCTCTTCACCAGCAGATTGCTAAAAGACTCAGAAAGTTGTATGCTTTTGTAGTTGTGTTTGAATTGATTATCTAAATCATAATTTAAAATAGATTTAAGAATTCATTGTTGTATTTTAAAGTGGAATTATTACACTTAATTTTGTTTCACCCCAATGCACTTTGAAATCCAAATAGTTACATTTATTTGCTGTGGTCTTTAGAAAGTTGATGGTTTTTCTCTTATTCTCTACATGTCTTTAATGCTAGTTTATTGAAGTTTCTCTTCCTGAAAAAGCTAGAGTGGTTTCTAAACAAACCACATTTTTTCCATACCCCAGCTTATCAAGGTAAAAGCTTTTAAAGAGTACCACAAATTTGCTCTTAACTCTAATTCGAAAGAGCTACACAATCAACAGATACCTCAGTGAATGATTTTTAAAAAGTTCTCTTCACAAAAGGATCTTTAAAAAAATCAGTTTATTAATGTTTAAAAGTTGATAAAGCTATGTGCAAAATGATCCACAAAAGTCAGGAACCTATTAAATACTATTTTTTAAAAGACATTTCTTGGTTTAATTGCACTGAAAAACCATACTAAAGAAACAGTAATATATTTTTATTCTCTGTAACATTTACACCCCCATTCCTAGCTAATGACAGTTGAAATGAAGAATTCCTGATGTTCCCTGTCAGTTAAAGTAATGCTTTTTCGGGTACAAGAGGGTAGCACTTTCCTAAGAACTACACATTCCATGATGTTAACACAGGTTAGGAAAAAACTCATTAAGATGACCTCAAAGGAACAAATACATTCAAAAATCATAAACTGTATTTTAAACAAGCCATAACCTTCCCCCGGTTGTTTGAAATGGATCACAAAACAGTCTGAAATAATCAATAAAAGTGCCAGAAACATTGTACTTGTTAGAGAAAGAAATCAATAAATGACTCTTGGTTTGCAAAAGTTAACACCATTCATCACTGCATTCTGCTGTTTTTCCCCTGGTTCATCTAAGATCCTGGTTGCTATAATTCAAATGAAGTAGACTTCGTTATTCCCATCACAAACACATGTCCATTGTGGTTGTAATGGGAATAAGGAATGCACACAGACTAAAGGACACATTTAAGATCATGACTGATATAATTCAAATAAAGTAAACTTCGTTATTCCCATCACAAACACATTCCATGTGGTTGTAATGGGAATAAGGAATGCACGCGGACTAAAGGACACATCTAAGATTCTGGTTGCTATAAATCAAAGTAGACTTCGTTATTCCCATTGCAAACACATGTCCATCGTGGTTGTAATGGGAATAAGGAATGCACGAGGACTAAGGAACACACTTTCATCTTGAAGACAGCCTACCAAATCCCCCACAACTTGACGGAGCTTACATGGCAACTTTGGCCTCAGCAAATAGCCTTTCCTATCAACAGCCTGCCATTTTCAGACAATCAAGACACGGACTCCTGAACAACTCCATTCTGATGAACAAATGCCAGACAAACAGACAGACAGTTAAGATATAAAGTCAAAGACTATGGAGAAGGGGTAGGAAGGGGAGAGAGGGGGAGAGGGGGAGAGGCGGAGAGGGACATGCACACCACCCTACAAGCTAAAGGGCACATACTCACTTGGCCTTTACAGTGAAAGATCACATCTCAAAACTCCAGGGACACTTTCTCATGGGACCTTAGTCTTTGAGAAGGGGTCGGATGAGCCCTTCGGGAGCTTGACAATGCTAGACCTTTGGCTCAGTGCAAAATCAAAGCTCCAGGGTATGGGGGAGGGCAGGAAACCCACTGCAGGCCAGACCTTATCTCCACCCTTTCCAGTGCATTGTTCACAAGAACTACCTACCTACATCATGGCATCACCAGGCCGCACATTCTCCCTTCCCTCCCTCTCTCCGGCTCCCAGTAGTTCCTTCCCGGCAGCAATGGAGAATAAGAGATATTTTTTTAAATTCTGGGGTAGTGGGTGACCGAGTCAAAATGCTTCCCCAGTATCAACGGCTTCCGGTTTTAAGAGGAAGAGTTGACATTTCCAGAAGACATAATGGTCTCTGGGTTGTCCCCATCGTCTTTCTGGGGGTGGGAGGAGTTGTCTGATTTGCTGCGGCTAAATTCCATGCCTGGGATGATGGGCCGCTTGAATTTGCCAGTGGAGTCTCCGTTGGGGCATTTGCAGCAGGATATGATCCGGATGAAGGCCCTGCGCATCTCCTTGTTGGTCAGAGTGTAAATGATGGGGTTGGTACCTGAGTTCAGCACAGCCAGAACCAGGAAGTACTCTGCTTTGTACAGGATGTTGCAGGTCTTCGCCTTGCAGCCCACATCCAACAACAGGAGGATGAAGAGAGGGGCCCAGCAGGCAATGAAGACACTCAGGACAATGATCACGGTCTTCAGTAAGGCCAGCGACTTCTCAGAACTGCGGCTGGCCTTGGAAATGTTCTTCCGGAAGGTCAGGCGGCGGCTTCGAGTCCTGACCAAGGAGTAGATCCTGCAGTAGAGGATGACGATGGAGAGCAGGAGCAGAGTGAAGACCGTGGTACAGAAGAGAATATAGTGCTTGTGGTAGAGCGGGAGCACGGTGGAGCAGCTGGACAGCGAGCTGATACAGTTCCAACCCATGATGGGCAGGCCCCCCAGGATAAGGGAGATGACCCAGCAGGCGCTGATCAGCAGGAAAGAGCGCGAGCTGTTGCTCCCGTTGTGTAGTTTCATCTTCAGCATGGTGATGTAGCGCTCGATGGCAATGGCAAGGAGGCTGAACACCGAGGCAGACAGCGCCACAAACATACTCCCTTCCCGCAGAAACCACTGGGCGGGGGTGAGCTTGTAGGTGGTGGCCCCAGACAACAGCAGGTTAGCTGTGTAAGCCACTCCTGCTAACAGGTCCGAGAGGGCCAGGTTGCCGATGAAATAGTACATGGGCCGATGGAACTTCTTGGTTTTCCAGATAGTTAGCAAGACAAATATATTCTCTAGGATGATGAAGCAGCAGATGAGAATGAAGACCACTGAAGTCAGCTTAATGCCATGGTCCTTCTCCACCCCGATGTTCAACTTGCCTGTGTAGTTGTAATGCCGGACTATGATATCATAGTTGCCATAGTCGGAGACTGAGCTGCGGAGGGCCTTAACCACCGGGACGCTGGTGGACACCATAGCCGCAATGTGTCGCCAGGAGCCTGGGGTGGTCCTTCTCCAGACGAACGCTAGAGGGCGAGGTTGAGCGGTCCTTCAGTTACAGCAGGGCCGGGTCAGTGAGCAATCCAACGCTTTTTGTGTAGCTTTGCCTTGGCTGGAGAGGGCCTCCGAAACAGCAGCCTTAAAACAAGTTACAAAGAAAAGAGAATCAGGGAAGAGGCCCAGCACACTAGCATAATTCATTCTGGCCAAGGCACTGCTCCAGTTTCTTGTTGATTTGTTTTAAAGAAACTTGGCCAGAGCACAGGCAGGACTTTTTTTTTTTTAAACTCAAATTATCATTTCTAGTAACAAAACAAAAATAAACAAACTCGAGAGAGAGATGAATTTAGGAACAGAGGGGGGAAATATTATCCAGAATGAACACTCTGACAGGAGGGTAACCTTCCCTCAGGTCACTAAGTCCACCAAAATGGGAACGGGAAACAGCTCCCTATTCTAGCTTTCAACCCACCAGTTCCCCTGGTATTGCCACCTCCAGCTTCCAACCCTGAGATTCCTTTAAGTGGTCACCAGCTCGGCGGCTTGCTCACCACCAGCCCAAGGGCCTCTTCTCACAGAAGGCCCCAACTGCCCATTCCGAGTGCCGTGCAGACATGCACACCCCTGCCCCCTCCCCAACACACACACACACACACACACACACACACACACACACACACACACGGCTCCTAGAGATCAGCCCACCTCCTAATTACTATGCAAGAAAGTAGATTTTCAGGAGGATCATTTGACAACCTAAGTCGTTTTCTGGGCCCTATTAATAACTCTCTAGGAGCAGGTGTGCTAAGGGTTGGGTCAGAGGGTGCATCGAGGTGTGGACCTCCAGACCCTGCAGTAAACAGGAAAGCTTGGCGCCTCCGTGAAGCAACTGCCTCGTCTTTCTTCTCTCCTTCTTCTTCTTCTTCTTCTTCTTCTTCTTCTTCTTCTTCTTCTTCTTCTTCTTCTTCTTCTTCTTTTCCTCTTCTTCTATTTTTTTTTTTGCTTTACTCCTCCGCCCCACCCTATCCTCCCACACAAGTAAACTTATTAAGGTAAAAGGTATTCATCGAGAACCCCTCCTGCGAGATTGCAGCAAATCGCAGTTTCTACGTGAACTGATTGCCTATTTTGACTTGAGCCAACACACGCATGCACGGAGAAGTCACACTGCTTGGGATAACCGAGCATGCCACTTTCTTTTAGCTTCAGGCACACTACTTTCCAGAAACACACACTGCTAAACTCTCAGGTTTTAGTTGCCGTTGTTAATCCCCGCCCTTGCCCCACACCCCCAACATTGCCTTCTCTCCCATTAAATAGTAACCTCTAGAGGAAGGACACACAGCACTAATTAAGTATTTTAAAGACTACCTAGTAATGGATCTACGTGATAATAATGAAAAAAAACAAAACAAAACAAAAAACTAGAACCGTTGAAATCATTTCTACGACAGAAAAGTTCACGAAACCCCGCATTTCCCCACCCTAACCGTACAATCCACTCTCAAGTAGTGGAAGTCACTGCCGTGATGCCTAATAATTTTGTCTATAGGATTTCCAAAAATAAGCTTCGCCCTCTTACTCCGTTCTAATGAACAGCAGCTTCTCCGCGTCCCCCCACTCCATCCCCACCCCCAGCCGTTTCTACAATTTTGGCATTAATCCTTTTCTGAACTTCACTAACTCCGTGCCCCCAAGAAGAAGCCAATCAAGATGGGCTCCAGAGTAACCTGGTAATGCACTTTTTTTTTAAAAAAAACAAAGTTTTTGTTTCTTTCGTTCGATTTTAAAGCTTAGTTCGTGGGCACCTGGGCGCCCCGCAGCCGGCTCTGCAGCCTGAGAGGCTCGCAACCCCCTACCTCGCTCAAGCCGGACGAAGCTGCGTCCGCGGGGCTCTGGGTCTACACCGCGCGATCCGCATCTTGCTGCTGTCCTCGAATGACGGCGGCGACCAGCTCACTCGCGAAGTTCTCTGCGCTGGGGTCCCCTCCCTCCGCGGCCGTGCACTCCAATGGCCAGCCCTGCCTGCGGCTGCCCGCGCCACTCGGCAAAGCGACGGCTCTGAGCGCCCCGCCGAGGCTGGGTGGCTCTTCTAGGAAGGGACGGGGAGGGGTTAACGCCTTTAACTCCTCCGCCCTCTGCCAGCGGCAGGGGGCCCCTCCGGGTCCACGCTGCTGCAGAGAAGCAGCCTCTAAGAAAGATCTGGGGCAGAGTGACTAAAATCAAACCAAATGAATAGCAGCCCCTCCGCCCCAACCAGCAGAGAGAGGGGAAAGAAAAGGGGCGGAGCCTGGCAGCCCCTAAATTCTAATTCACAAATCACGTCTCTCGCCTTCCATCCGAGGTCCCCAGCGCTGGAGGGGACTCAGAAACTAAAGAGGGGGGATCCCTTGAAAAACTTTTCTTCGGTAAAATCTTAGAGAGCAGAGGACAGCCTGCGTCTCCTGGAGGACCTTCCTGGTCCCGGATCCCACAGCCCTGAGGATCCGAGTGGCCCGGTGCCCTAGGGCCACTTCCACGCAGTCAGGGGAAACTCCAGCCTCAGCCGAGAGAGTCGCCGCTGCGCCGCAGGGAGGAGATCCTGGGAAGCGACCGCGAGAGAGGCCCCAGGCCAGCAGCCCGAAGGCACCGAAATGCTTCTGTCCTCCTCCTCCTCCCCCCTCCACTCGGATCCTAGCGAAGCCTCGAAACTTGTGGTCTGGTGGGCAAAAAGTGGCTTTCCCCGGGCGCGCGGTGAAGTGGGCCAGCGCCGGGCTCGGTGATGCGTGGGGGTTCCCCTGGCTCAGCTGAGCGCAAAGCCAGGCGGTGTGCCCCAGATTCTGGGAAGCGCTGGGGCCTTTGAGGAGGTGGGCTGCTGCTAACTCCGACCTCAGAGATCTAAACAGTCCGGCAGCTCAGGAATTTCCACAGGGGAAAGGGTTGTCTGGCTTTTCACAGGCCAGCACCTCCCTCTGCCTGGCTAAAGCTGGGATCCCTTCCCTCCCTCCCTATTTGAGAGACAACTAAGAGACTCCCAAATCAAAAGACTCGCACTTTGCCCACGTTTTTTCTCTTAGTAGATAATACTTAGGAGATTGAGGCTGAAGAGGCCTTGGTTAGGTTTGTCTGAGTAGTAGACTCAGGGCCTTTATGTCTTGCCCTACTGTTAAAAAGAGGTTCCACCCAAGTCCCCTGGTCGCCCTGCCTTCCCACCCTGAGCAGATGTGAACGCAAAACTTCCTCCGCTGTGCAGTTTCAATTGACAGACACACCCTGTACCTGAATGACTCAAAAAAGGCTGAATGAATAAACAAGAGACCCCTACCTTCTGAGATTTTATGAGCTTGCAAAAAAAACAAAACAAAAAAAAAAAAAACACACATCTGTCTAGGAGCTCTCATCAACAGCCTTGTGCCGTGCATACCCACAAACTACAGAACTTGCAAAACAATATGGAAACCAAGATAACAGCTGTCCAGTCTCCTCCGGAAAAGAATGAGTTTGAGACTTGGTTTATTTGAAAGAGGAGACAATGGTTCAAGTCTATCACAGCACAGCAGAGGCAAGGAGTGGGTTTCCCACTGATTGATGCGGTCTTTAAGGGGAAACTGTCCAGCATCAAGCTGTGATGGACACTGTGCCGCAAGGGAACACCGGGAACCATTCTGTCCAAGGTGGAAATCCTCAGCCTGAGAGACCTGTAGATTGTCCAGTTAGTATGCAGCAGAGCTGGGTCCCCAGATCTAAGGTGTCTTGCCTGCTGGCTCAAACACTGTCAATCGCTTTAAAAATTCCAGTTACTTTTCCTGAACAGAGCAGACTCCCACACTTAGACTTTTCAACTTTGTACTTCTGATTGTATTTGTCTCTAAATGTGCATGAAACAATTACTAATGTATACAGTGTGGAGGGGAAAGGTGGTGTTTCAATAAGTAACCCATGCTGCCTCCGATCTCAATTGTGGCCCGTCACACTTAGCTATATATCCGTATCATTAAACTGCATACACGCAGCCAGGAACAGTGGTGAGTGCCTGTAATCTCAGAATTTGTAAAGGCAGGAAGATCAGGAGTTCAAGGTTATCTTCTGCTATATCATGAGATGAAGGCCACCTTGGGAGACTCAATTTGAGACTATCACTCACAAAACACACACACACACACACACACACACACACACACACACACACACACGGTATAGTTCGGTGGTAGGCTGTTTCCTTAGCACATACAACACCCTGGGTTCTTTTCCCAGTACTGAGAAAAAGAAAAGATAGGCTATGAGTGGTGACAAATGCCTTTAATTCCAGCATTCCAGAGGCAGAGGCAGGCAGACCTTTGTAAGTTTGAAGCCAGCCTGGTCTACATTGCCAGGACTATAAACTGAGACTCTGTCTCAAATGAAAAGGAAAAGAAAAAAAGAAAAGAAAGGAAAAGATACACATATTTCACAGTCAGAGTTCTCTGAAGGAACAGAACGTCTTATGGTCTGGCTAGTCCAACAATGGCTATCACTTGACAGGCCAAGAATCCAGTAACCATGAGTCCAGGAGGCTGAATGTCTCAGGGGTCTTAATCCTGGAGAATTCCAAGGGATCTGTTGGTCTTCAGAGTCTGCTGAGATGAAACCACCCACAAGCCGAGAAGAATGGGATGTGGAGAAGAATGGGACACTGAGATGAAGCCATCCACAAGCCAAGAGTAATAGGCAGCCGAATTCCAAAAACACCAGTAATTTCCAGAATTTAAAATCCTGAATCATGAAAGGACACTGATGGAATTCAGGTTTATCTGGTACATGGAATACTCAAACCAAACGTGATGTCGAGCTGTAGGCCTTGCGTACATCTTACTTCACAAATGAGTCTGTCAGATACGCTAAGCCTATAGGCCAAAGATGATGCCCCAACGTGCAGAGAAACCTCAGGTGACTGCCCAGGCAGCTGGCTATTTCTGTCAACTCACTTTTTTTTTTTTTTTTTTTGGGGGGGGGAAGTCGCTTGTTTGCACTTTCTGTTTTACTAAGTAATATTATTTCTTTCCTGGGTCTCTGAGGGAGTTGAAGATTAGATAGTTGTAGTTACAGTTTTCCTTGTTAAGAAATTCAAAAAAGAAACTCATAAGGAGGTATAAAATGTAAAAGTTTGAAAGACATCTTAGAGCCGGGCGGTAGTGGCGCACACCTTTAATCCCAGCAATCGGGAGGCAGAGGCAGGCGGATCTCTGTGAGTTCGAGGCCAGCCTGGTCTCCAAAGCGAGTTCCAGGAAAGGCGCAAAGCTACACAGAGAAACCCTGTCTCGAAAAACAACAACAACAAAAAAAAAAACCCCAACCAACCAACCAAAAAAAAAAAAAAAAGAAAGACATCATAGGATAGTTTTCTGTTCATAATAAAAGTTAGGATAGAAAGTGAATTAGGTACATTTTGGACTCACCAAAAAAGGATAGATAATGGAATATTTTCTCTAAATTTGTCAAATGCAAATGGACTAGACATTGTTGATGTATTTATTGCTTCTATATATGTATATAATTATTGTACTTATTGTATATAGTTTTTCTTATATTAGTTATAATTATTTATTTTTTATTTTTATTAGACAAAAAGGAAATGTGGTGATATTTTATTTGTATATTAATAAATAAAGTTTGCCTGGAGATCAGAGGAAATAGCAAGCCATTAACACAAAAGTCAGGCAGTGGTAGCACACACCCTTAATCCTAGCATTCTGGAGTCAGAGATCTGTCCAGATCTCTGTGAGTTCAAAGCCACACTGGAAACAACCAGGCATGGTGACACATGCCTTTAATCCCAGGAAGTGATGACAGGAAGCAGAAAGGTATATAAAGTATAAGGACCGGAAACTAAAGCCTTTTTCAGCTTTTAGGCTTTTTAGAAGTTCAGCTGAGATCCATTCAGATGAGGACACAGAGGCTTCCAGTCTGAGGAAACAAGATCAGCTGAGGAATTGGCAAGGTGAGGTTAGCTGTGGTTTGTTCTGTTTCTCTGATCTTGCAGCGTTCACCCCAATATTATTAATAAGACCGTTTTTTTATTAATAAGACCTTTTAAGATTCGTGTTACAAGACTCCATTGAAATCCTGAAGAAGTAGGTTCTAAAAGTAGTGAAGGAATGCCTCCACAGCTGGAGAGATGAACTTGTCAGCTAGAGTGAGGGCAAGCAGGTAAAAAGCAAAAGCTTCCTTCTTCTGTGTCCTTCTATGTGAACTGCCATCAGAAGGTGTGGCCCCAATTTGGGATGAGACTTCCCACCTCAAATGATTCTGTGAAGAAAATCCCTCATGCCCAGCTGCTTGGGATTTAGTTGATTCTTGATGTCAAGCTGACAACCAAGATTAATTACCACACAAATATAGTTATAGATCTCTGTAACTATAAATACTGGAATCTGAAGTATCCAATGATGGCCTCAAAATCCAATCATATCAAGCAAAGACAGCCTCAATTTCTGACCCTCCTGCTTTCACTTCCCAAGTGTTGGTATTATAGGCATGCACCACCACATCTGGCTTTATGTTGAAACAGTGCTGGGGATTGAACCCTGGGCTTTATGCATGCTAGGCAAGTACTCTACCAACTTAACTACCTCCTAGTGAATGTTTCTGAAACTTCTCAGGGCCCTTCTTATAGACCTAAAGAAAAGCTGTGCTTTCAGTAATTATATACCAGATTCTAAATGTTTTACGTATACACACACACACACACACACACACACACACAATCCCTTTCATTCTTACAGCTTAATCACTACAAGTTAGTTACCATTATCCTAATTTTACAAACAAGGAAAATGGGCCCCAGCTATATTAAGCATGTTGGTTAATGTGAGATATGGCCATAGACAGACTGTAGAATCACAGCCACCACACCAAACCACTGAGATAAACCTTAAGCATATGGAAGAATTGCTCGGGAGAAATCTTCTCTGTCATACATACCATTGCTGAGGACAACATGCAGGCCTGGCCCAATGTTGGAAAGAATATAGCTATTTTCTAGATGGCGATTTGGTAATGGTCACCCCCCTCATACACCTCTGGGATGTAAAATGTATAGAACGGATGGACAAATGAGAAAGTCCAACAAGCTGTTCCCAGCCACAGCTTTCTGGTGCATTCCAGGACTCTAGTCACATACCCTTCAAGACCCATAATATTGAAGATAGCACGAAGAACTATGCCCTCCAGCTAATTCCTGGCTGGCAGTCTAGCCCTTTTTCTGCCTGGAAGT